GCGAGCTCGACCCCTAGTAGGGGGCATGGCAGAAGCACCGATAGATGTTTCTCTCTCACACCAATGTTCTTACCTCTCTCTCCCCTCCTCTCTCCCTAAAAAAAAAATCAATAAAAAAAAAATTTTTAAGAGCCTGTAAAAACAGCTCTAAGTTAGCAAATCCACGCTCTGACTTAAGCCTCCTCTCTTCTGTGTTGCAGTAGGAGTCAAGGAAGAGGAAAACACTCAAATCTATAGTGAGAGCTTTAAATTTACTTCTGAATTTCAACCCTTATTTCCAGCTGCTTGAGGCTTCTCCACCTAGAGGTCGCACCCATGGGCACCTCAAAAACAACATGCTCCAGTCCCAAATCCTCCTCTCCCTCTTCCTTCCCTCTTTCCTCCAAGTAGGATCCTCCTCCAATATTCTCATTCACTGTAAGAAAGAACTACCCATTCAGCTTCCCAATCTAAAGACCCTGACCCTCCGGTCGCCTCACCCCCATTATAGTCACCAAATATTGTTAATTCCATCTCAGTGGTGTTTTCCACAGAGGTGCCACCTTCCCTGTCCCACTGACCTTTGCTCGTTCAATACCTTATAAACTATATTCTTGTGGTGGAATGCGAGTTCCCTGCCTGCTTTTTCGTCCAGTTCATTCTCCACACTTCCCTAGTCCCTACCCCACCATCCTTCTCAGACAAGATTATCAGATCATGCCCAAGAACCTTGGATAGCTCCCTACTGCCTACATAATTAAGCTCAAGGTCCTAGTCTGACAAATGATCGTTTACACTGAGGACTGAAGAAACATTTCATCCCTAATAGACAACCTGTGCTCTGGCCACTCTGGTGTAACAAGCCTCAATCATTTATGACTCTTGTGTGCTCTTACAATTTTGCACTTCTGTTTCCTTGACTTGAAAGTTTTTCCTTCCCTCCATATCCTGCCTTGTTCAAAAACCAGTTTCCTGTCCCCCTTTCCAGACCCCCACTCAGTTTACACCTCCTGTGAAAAGCTTTTGGGACTGCCCTCTCCCCTCTGTGCTCCTCCAAGCCTGTACACAGCCCTAACCACACTCTCGGATAATTATTTATGTTTCTATCTCCCCTGCTAGAATGTGAGCCGCTTGAAAAGACACTTGCTATATTTTATTCATCTTGAATCCACTGCACCTCCCTGCTAGCGCTGCACATAAACATTTGCTGAATGAATTGGCTAAAAGTACTTTGATAAAAATGTAACGCATTATCCCAAATTTTTATAGACTTCTGTGGCCAAAATCTCATTTCCCTGCCCTCTTGCTCGGCACACAGACCTATCCGCACGCGATCAGGGTCTCAGGAGGGCCAGGTGTTCAGAGGGAACTAACAAAGTGCCTACGATTTGTAAACAGGGCCATTTGTAAACCCTCTGGGCTAGATTTAGAGATTGCCTTTCTACCTCTGACAACACTCCTCTGAGCCCTCACTCCACTCCAAGCAGCACTTCTCTTTCGAATGTCTGGAGTCCTATAAGTAACCTTTGTTTACCCCGAAAGTGTTTTCAGGGAAGCTGAAAAGAGCTAAAAAAAACAACAACCATGTAGTGATTCTGCAGGGACCTCCCTGGTCAGTGAGCTTCATGCCCACCTCAAAGGAGGAGGGAGCTTCGCGGGCTCAGCTCCAATCTCTGCCCCCTCGATCCACCAACAGCTCCTTAACCGCTTAACCCTCCAAGGGCTCTCTGCTCCCAGTGAAAACCATGGCAGCCCATTAATCACAAGATTATCGAAGTAAAACAGCATCATACGCAAAGTGATAAGCCCGGTGGCCTTAAGAATAGTGATCTTGCCCTGGCCAGTTTGGCTCAGCGGTTAGAGGGTTGGCCCGTGGACCAGAGAGACCCGGGTTCGGTTCCCGCTAAGGGCATGTGCCTCAGTGGCAGTTTGTCCCCAGTCCCCATTGGGGTCTTGTGGGTGGCGACCACTTGATGTGTCTCTCTCATGTGGATGATGTTTCTCTGTCTCTCTTCCTCTTTCTTTCCCTCCGGCTCTATCTGAAGATAAATGCAAAAATGTCCTCAGGTGAGGATTTAAAAAGAAAAGGATAGTGATCTTTCGGGCTCCTGGTCCCAATTCCAACATGGGGGGTGGGGCACTCCCACAAACAAGGAGCAATTCTCGGACACCAGCTGGGTGTCCTACAATTTAACTAAATTCCGACACTATCTACCCAGAGAGGACATCAGATCCCACAGGTTAAGGGCTCAGTCCTACAGGACTGCCCCGTACCCCCCCCGCTTCAGACCCCAGTCACAAATCTAGGTTGTCACCTGTGCTTTAGACCAACGGGCTTTAGATTGAGGGTTCCAACAACCCCTGCCTTGGGTCTCAGTCGTAAGTCCAGATTGTTCCCTGTGCGCCTGACTGACTGGCTACAAACCAGAAGCTTCCATGACCCCTTCCTCGGGTTCGATTAATTTGCTATAGCAGCTCACAGAACTCAGAGAAACATTTCATTCACATACTAGGTTACTGGTTTATTATAAAAAATAAGATAAAGGCTACAGATGAACATCCTGTGGAAGAGACCAGCGGGGCAATGTATGAGGGTGGGGGAGGAGCTTCTCTGAGCACCATCCTTTTGGAAGTAATGGAAGCTTCCTTACACGGGCAAGGCTGATTAAATCACTGGCCGTTGACAGCTGTCAACCTCCATCCCTCTGCTCTCCCCAGAGGCCGGGAGGGTGGGACTAGAAGTTCCAGGCCTCTAATCACAGGGTTGGTTCCCCTGACAACCAGTTCACTTTGTTAAGATGACCTAAGGGCTTTCCAAAAGCCACCTCATTAATATAACAAAAGACAACATTATCTCTCTCACCAAGAAAATTTTCAAAGGTTTTAGAAGCTCTGTACTAGAAATGGAGACCAAGACCAAATTTGTATTTCTTAATATGTCACATTATTACAAATGGGTGACAAATTAGAGTCAGATTAGGGTTAGGCACTCATTTGAATGGAGCCCAGGGGGGCAGAGACTCAGCGACAGCTCCCAGCCTCAGGGTCTTTGCCTTTGCTGTTCTCTCCGCACCTGGAATGTCCCCCCTGATATAGTCTGGTCTCTACTCAGATATCACCTCCCAAGAGGCTGCCCTAAGGGCTCAATCCAAAAAAAGCATCTGGTGTCTTCACAGCATTTTTAGCACATCATTGCACTTGTACCTGATACCATATTATCTATCTATCTCCGTGCTTTTTCCACCGGTGTGCCCCAAGAATTTTTAAAACGTGCAGTACTTGACTATTTATTCAGGGGCACTGACCTCTTTTCCCTAGTCTGTCAAATTAAAAAATGACAGCACTCCACACAACAATAGTCGTCTAGTATGAACGAATCAAAATTATACCTTTTTTTTTTGTCAGATCGGCAAAAAATATATGTTTCAGTGTGCTGCAGAATTTTAGTCGTCAGCTTATGTGTGCCATGAGTTGAAGAAGGCTCAGCATCGCTGTCTATTTGCTTATTGGCTGACACGGTCTCCCGTTCCCCGGGAGGGCAGGGACTTCGTGTGGTTCCCAGACAATCCAGGCACACAGTTGTCTTCCAATAAATGTGCGTTCATCTTTTTTTTTTTTTTATCCCCACCTGAGGACATTTTTCCATTTTTTGTTCAGATAGAGCGGGAGGGAGAGAGAGGAACAGAGAGAGAGAGAGAAACATCGACGTGAAGGGACACATCGAGTGGCTGCCACCCACACGACCAACCAGGGCCGGGGACAAACTGCAACCGAGGAGGTACGGGCCCTTAGTGGGGGCCGAACCCGGGTCTCTCCGGACCGCAGGCCAACGCTCCAACCGCTGAGCCAAACCGGCCAGGGCCGTTCATCTTTTTTTTAAGCACAGAAAGAAAGAGAGTCCCGAGCACTCACGAGCTCATGCTCTCAGGGGAGACGTAAGGCAGCTCAGGCGCTCAGAGCCAGCCTGGTCAGCACAGGTGACAGATGGGGATAAGAAGAGTCCACGACCGCTTCTGAGGAAGCAGGGACTGTGCACAGGACGGCGGGACGGGTCCCCCCTCGAAGGCAGTGGAAGAAAGAAGGTTCAGGAAAAGGGCCCCAGGCGTTTCACAGTGAGAGACCGCACGGTGCCATGTGTCCTGAGGCCCAATCATTAACAACCCGGGGTCACAGCTCGCCCTCTGGTCCCCATGATAGAGCCGTACAGCACCATCGGTTACTTCTCTCCCACTCTCAGCCCACCCATTGTCCGGGGAGAAAGGATAAGTGTCCCGAGTTTGAATGTTCTCCAAGAAAGCTGATAGAGCCAAAGAAGAATCACAAACCCGTGAATCTGGAGGTGGTGGGTAAGGCTGGAGGAGCATCCAAAAAACGAGGAGGTGCGGGGAGCACAGCACAGAGCTCTGAGTCCGAGGGTGCCGTGAGGATGAAAGGAGAGGGGATCAGCCCCTGGAGTTGCCAAGGTGCCTGCAACCTCCCCCTGAGGGAGAGGCCTCCCCAGGCGCGAGGCACACCCGTCAGCGTGTACTTTGCCCCCGTACCTGCGTCCCCTCATCAGTAAAAATGGAGACAATAACCACAGGGTTGCAACGTGGATCAAATAAATTGATGAGAGCTGAGCCTGCAACGTGGGAATTATCCTTGTTACTGGAATTTCAGTGGGAGCCCTGCTTCTTTCAATGCAACAGTGTCCTAAGTCTATAGGGACCATGGATTTATCAAAACCACATATGGCTTAAGGGGCAATGCCATCGACAGCCTGGCCACAGTGAAGGTTCATTGTTGGGATCCAGTCAGAGAGACAAGCTGCAGAAAGACTAGCAGAGGCCCCGTGCACCTAGCTGAGGAGCCTGATCTCTCCACGAGACCTTCCTTCTCTGGGTGAACGCTGTGCCTCTCGCTGGCGAGAGGATTGAATTAGGAGGAGAAGAGGGCCTACGTCACTTGCAAGTAAAGTGAGCATTCATTATTCACAGCGTGGTGGTCGCCAGCCAGCCTGGGCTTCCAGGGTGGGTACTCACGGTTCTGGGGTGTAGAGGGGGTCCGAGCCATGTCGGATGTACTGGGTGCAGTGGAACACCCTGTAGGCCAGTCCTGCCAGAAAGTCTCGGGGACTCAGATATCCAGCCACCGGCCTCACCGTGAAGCCAGATCTTTCTAAAGAGGCAACAGAAAGAGTCAACTAAATAATAAGCCCACAGGACTAGCAGGCCCAAGCAGGGCTTCCTATTATTTATAAGGATGTTCTAGAAACTCTTGACAATTGAATGACATACACGGTTGACCCTTGAACAACACGGGTTTGAAGTTCTCACTGAGGTTCATTTACACATGTTTTGGGGGGGTTTCAATGAGTACAGTCAGCCCTTCCTATTCCCAGGTTTCACACTCGTAGAGTTCAACTAAATGCGAATCAGAACAACTATTTTCACATTCCCAGCCGCGTTTTCCCAACCGCAGATCAAAAATACTGCTTTTGATCTGCTGCTAGCTGAGTCGGGGATGGGAAGGGCCAAAGTGAAACCGAGTTACATGAGATTTTCGACTGTGCGGGGGACCCCTGCATTGTTCAAGGGTCAACCGTACTGTTAACAGTTATCGTCTGTGGCTTCAGATCACTAACTACACTGTCAAATGATGGTTTCCAGGGGAACAAGACGTCTGTGAAAAATGGAAGAAAAGGTGAAAAAATATTTAAGGATTTAAAAACAGAAGCCAACTCAGGACAAGAGAGCTCAACTACACAGGAGAGGATTGCAAGCTCAAGCGATGCTTACCATGTACTACCCAGTACCTGTCTGAAACACACCCGGGGTCCCTCCGCGGCCGTGGTCACACAGCACCCCTCCACTAGCACCACGGAATCAGTTCACGGCCCAGCTTGCTATGGTCACTGCCCCACCCCCTCCATCCTGCTGTTTTCCGTGACACCATGACAACGTCACATTAATCACTGCCACTTGAAGAAGGTACATGAAAGCCCCACATGCTTTACTGGTTTACAGTAAGAGGGAATAAAGAAGCAGAATGTAGTAACATCGATGAAACTGCTCTATGCTGCTAACCCTGTTGGGCCGTGGACGGATCATCCGTGTTCTCAGCTTAAGGGCCACCTACCGCTTCCTTCTCATGACACAGGACATTTCCAACAGGAGGGCTACTCTCAGCTCGGACACCAGCATACCAAAGGCTCCCATTCTGAACACCTCCCCTCATTAGGACACTACCTTAGAATGGTCAGAAATGGTTTGTAAAGACAAAAACCAGTTAAACTTCTGAAGCAGGTTCCCGTGGAGTTTCTGTGTTTACACGGAAACAACCCTGTCCTCGGGCCTCCTCAGATCCATAATTCTAACAGTATTCTGCTCTTTCCAAATCTTTCGTGTCGAATCGTTCCCCACTGAATATTAAAAAGATAAATATATTTTCTCCATTTTCTATTTTATGTCCATTAAGCCCACGTATTCCACATGTGGGATATGAGTGGTGGTATACAGAGGAGTAGTCTTTAATAGCTATGTTCTTTCTTTTCACATACATTTTTTTAAGTATGTATCTATGACATTAAGAACTTTGAATTTGTGGATACCATTGCTTAAGTTTTCTTTTAATAATTAGGTATTTTAGCCCGGCCGGTGTGGCTCAGTGGTTGAGCATTGACCCATGCACCAAGAGGTCACCAGTTCGATTCCTGGTCAGGGCACATGCCTAGATTATGGGCCCCATCCCCAGTGGGGGGCATGCAGGAGGCAGCCAACTGATGTTCTCTCTCATCGTTGTTTCTATATCTCTCTCTCGCTCTCTCTCTTTCTCCCTTTCTCCTTCTCTGAAATCAATAATAAAGAAAAAAAATTTTAAATAATAATAATAAATTAGGTATTTTAAAAGTCAATTATTAAAAGAAATAAAAACGTGTACACTGACACTGTGCTTGCTATGTGCCAATGAGTGGTGCAAACCACACTCCCAGCATCCAGTTCACCACAGGAAACAGCAATAAAAACAACAACAATAATAGTAACAATAACTAAGACTCTGCTCAGCTTAATGTGTGTCATGCAATAATATTAGGGCTTTAAGTTTTATCAATTTGTTTCCCCTAGATAAAAGTATTATCTTCATTTGCAGACAAGACACACGGAGGCACAGAGAGGTTAAGCACCTCATCTAAGGTCACAGAGCCAGGAGCTGGCAGGATGCAGACTCCTCCAGAATCCATGCTGTACTATACCATCCCTCACAATGAAAATGTTAAATTGGGAGACAGATATGGCAAAAATCATGAGACAGTATTCTAATTACTTGGGTTTGAGAAACGATGCAGTAATCCCCATACATGAATCAAGCCCGTGGTAATAATGTGCACATAACTGTGAGAAACAAAGAGGGACATGTCAGAGGTGGGCTATTGGGGAAAACATAATCTAGTTAAACAGTAGCAAAGGCATTATGTAAATAGGTGCTCATTCCCCACCTCTTTCCCTCAGTCTCAAATATCATGGGTGTGCTGGGTGTGATGCTCAGTGTGCCAGCGATCAGACCAGGCCCATCTCTCTGCCAGCACACACACGTGATCGAGAATGAAATCCGAGCGGGAGAGCTCACCACGGCTGTTAGGATCGGGATTCAGAGAGGAGGCAGGATTTGCCCCGAGTCTCAAAGAGCAGATAGAACTGGAGTAGGTGAAACGGGTTGACTTTTCCAGCGAGAGGCAGAGCCTAAGCGGAGGTGTGCAGAGCCCACAGTGGGAGCTGAGGGCCTGGGCAGCAGCCATAGCAGGGGACAAACTGCAAAGCTGGGTCAGGGCCTGGCACTAAGACTAGCCGTTCAGGACTGGACAGTATAACCAGAGATCAGCACCCCATGACCTGTAGTCCAGATCCAGCTTGCCGCCTGTTTCTGTACACCCATGAGCTAGGAAGAGAATTGACATTCTTTACTAATCACATTTAATGGTTGTATAAGTACCTACACAATAGCTTTAATTTTGCCTCTTGGCTCACAAAGCCTAAAATACTTACTATCTGACCTTTTATAGAAAAAATTAAAAAGTTTGCCAACCCTGGTAAAAACGACGGAGAGGCAGTGATAGCTTCTGAGCAGATGCCAGGAAGAAAGCCGTGCTTTAGGGAGCTTTGCCGGGAAGCAGTGGGCGTGAGAGCAGAGGGGGGAAGACACAGGCACCAAGGTCATGTGATGGGGCCTCAGTCTGGGTGGCGGCATTGGAATGGGAAGAAAAGGACAGGTTCACAATGGGTCACAAAGCTAGAAAAGGCCATTCTTGGGGACCGTGGTAAGCTGAACAACGGCCTTCAAAAGATGTCCATGTCTAATCCCCTGAACTGGTGAGTATGTTTCGTTATGTGGCAAATGGACTTTGTAGATGCATGAAGTTAAAGATCCTGAGATGGAGAGGTGATCCTGGGTTATTCAGGTGCTGACACAATTACAAGGGTCCTTGTAAGGGGGAGGCAGAGTCAGAGGGGGAGTTGTGTGTCCTTGGAAGGCAAATGAGATGCTGGCCAGGGCGTCAGCCTGTGCGAAGCCTTACCTTTCAGAAACACGGAGACGTCTTCGAGCTGAGGCACATTGTCCTCCCGGTAGCCGCAGTATTTAGACAGCAGAGGGAAGTTTCTCAAATACTCCCGGCAAGCGTGAGTCGGGTAGAGTTTGGAGAGCTCCCGGAACACAACACCCCAGGTTTTAGTTTCTTCCTCCGTGTACTCCACCCTGGGGATGGGCTGGCCACTAGGCAGGAGAGAAGAGGAATGAATGAATCTAGCTCTGGGTCAATGAGTTAAGGATTTTCACCTTCATACCTATAGCAAGTCAGATTCTGACAAAGTGGGACACCTGAGTGTCTAAGAAGATCCCATTAGGATTATTATTATATATTTTTTTTTATCCTCACCCAAGGACATTTTTCCATTTTTGTTCAGATAGAGTGGGAAGGATAGAGAGAGAAAAACATCGACATGAAAGGGACACATCGAGTGGCTGCCTCCTGCACGACCCCAACCAGGGCCAGGTACGAATCGCAACCGAGGTACATGCCCTTGACCGGAATCGAACCCACAACTCATTGGTCCACGAGCCGACACTTTAACTGCTGAGCCAAACCAGCCAGGGCTAGGATTATTTTTTAAAGCAGGTAAAAAGCTAACCTCTTAAAATTGGGTGCGTATTCAGATTTCCATACGAATGATTTGATTAAGTTACATCTTCACACATCCTTATGGAAATTTGATCAGATGTATGTTCTTACACTGAGATCAGTAACAAGTGAGAGTTCTGGGTTGGAAGGAATGGTTTGGGGACCCAGATGTGCTCTGAGAGCCTTATCTGCAATCACCTGACAACAGTAACAAGTGAATGTTGTCTCTTGAAAATAAAATGGCCTCTGGGTTCTCTTTGTCCCTTATGGGGAACTCACCCCAATCTCCAAGTGTAATTTTAAGATTATTTGTTCAATGAGCAAAATATCTGGGAAATGCTAGAAGGCTATGCTAAGTTTAAACCGAGAACTTTGCAAACTTCCGAAGAGGAACATTTATTACACACCGTGTGCACATTGAGCCCCTCAGTTGAGGAGAGGTGTGCACATTGGGCCCCTCAGTTGAGGAGAGGAGCCAGCTAACTTTTCCACAAAGGGCCAGAGAGTAAATATTTTACGCTTATGGGCCATACAGTCTCTCACACTGGGTCTTGAAGGCAGCCATAGACAGTACGGAACAAAAGAATGTAGCTATGTTTCCTTTATATATTATCTGAATTTTTTTTTCAATTACAATTTACATTCAATATTATTTTGTATTCCTTTCAGGTACATAGCTATATGTTCTAATAAAGTTTTCTTTACACAAACAGTCAGTGGGCTAGATCTGGCCCATAGCAGTATGTACCGATGCCTGATTTAGACTAATGAAAGGTGGCCCTGGACTGGAGTGCTCAGGGAGAGCTTCCTGGAGGAGGCACACTTTAAGCTGAGCCTTGTTGGCCAGGTATAATCTGCAAGTTCCCAGAGGGAGAGAAAGTAATGCTGTTGTAACAGCAGCCAGCAGCCATGAGCAGGGAGCATAGCAGCTGATGCAACCTGGGGGTCCCGTAGGTGGAGGGGACACAGACATGAGCGTCAGAATCTGAATCTGAATTTAGCCTCTGATTAAAATATCTATTTGGAAAGTGAAACTAGGGTTTGAGAAAACCCCTCACGACATGCTCAGCAGCCGCCTGCAGCACTCCCCTCTGCCCACCCTGGCCACGGGTCAGAAATTCTGCTCCTGCGCTCAGCAAATACGCTTGTGCAAGTAAATACGCTTATGCAAGTAAGACAGTCCGGACACACAAAGGAATCCCACACCTCCCCCCGCCCCCAACCCCCGTCTACATCCTCCAGCCTGTAGCTGCAGCCACCACAGGAGCTGTGCACAGGCAGCAGCTGCCACTCGGGGGTGCTGTGGGGCACTTTCCACCAGCTGGGACCAGCCCCATTGCCTGCCCCACCCCCACTCCAAGGTAAAATGGGGAAGGAGGCCAAGAGTAACAGTAGGCTAGTAAACTGACCCCTGTCCTCAACCCCACATACTCCAGTGTTATTGCCCAAATGCTTTCTGCTTCCAGTTCAGGTCCTAATGTGGTTCCTGCTACCTGAGTGGTTGTTTTTTTATTTTATTTGTTTGTTTGTTTTTTAATTAACTGAAGTACATGAAGGATGAGGGAATAACACACTTGAGAACCAGAAATTAACATTTGCTTTTCCTAAGTACCAAGAGTAGGGCTGATACAAACCAAATGAGAACAAGATTAGCATTGTTTAAATTGGACCGTTGATCACAAATAAAATAAAAAAAATTACAACCTGAGGAATGTTTGCTGAGAAGATCAAGGCTGCTAAGACTTAGCATCTGTGATGAATGCAGACTGACATCTTGAAATAGACAGATAAAAAGAGAAAGGGTGTAAGAAATAAATCTATAAACAGTCCAGAAAATTCAACTAAATCAATTTCACTCGGGTAAGCCAATACAGCTAATAAGGGTTGTGCACAGTCGGAAGGTTGGAAAGCAATGAGGCTGAAACAATAAGTGAAATATTGAGAAGTCATTTGAAAAGGATCGTTAGGTCAAACTTTTGCCTTTGATGTCGATCTGCAAACACGCAGCCTCTCGGGGAGCTGGATATAGCCAACAGGAAGCAGCAGAAGAACATGTGTGTGAGTTCGGGTAGAAAGACAGAGGCATACAGATCTGTTACTTAGTAATGAATGTCTAGTGTTGCAGCCTCAGTAATACAGACAGTCATGTACATTCTCATTTGTTCCCGCTTGTTTGTGCTGCCTGAGTAACTAACCATAGTGCCTGCTCTTTTGAGTGAATTGTCAATACAGAACTATACTGCTCCCTTGATCACCTGCAGGTAAATCTAACTCCAGTTATTATCAAGAGATTTCTCACACTGCTGTAACCCCACCCCCACCCCACCCCCAGGTAATCTTTAAGATCAATATTTAAAAATCAGCTTCACCACAAAGTAAAGGCTAGTTTTATCCATTTAGTTTCTATTTAAAACATCCAAAATACAGGAGGAAAAAAAATAAATTTTCCATTTTCTATGTAGTTAATACAGGTTTATAATAATAGCTCACCTTTGAGAGCTGACTATGGTGCCAGACACTTTTTTAAGGTTAAGTGTTTTTATATAAATTAACCCATTTGATTCTTACAACAAATCCATGAAGCAGCCACTATTATTATCTCTATTTAGAGATGAAAAAATTGAGACTCAGAGACTGCCTATAAGCATAGTGCCAGGTTTAACATCCAGTCAGTCTGGGTCAAGACAGGCTATAGTCTTAATTGATTAGTATATACTAACAAAAAAAAAATATTTTTTTTATCCTCACCCGAGGACATTTTTTCATTTATCTTCAGATAGAGCGGGAGGGAGAGAGAGAGAGAGAAACATCGATGCGAGAGAGACACATCAACTGGTTGTCACCCACACGACCCCAACCGTAGCCAGGGACAAACTGCAACCGAGGTACGTGCCCTTAGCAAGAACCGAACCCAGGACTCTCTGGTCTGCAGGCCGACGCTCTAACCGCTGAGCCAAACCAACCAGGGCTACCAACAAAATTTTTAAATGTATTCCAGACACCAGCGTATTTTCATATATCAAACTAAAATAAGGTTTGTGGGTATGTGTGTTCTTATGTAAAAATCTCACATATAATTATCTGTAATCATGATGCTCGCATGTATTTGTAGATCACATAATTTTGTAGATACTTCTATGTTTGTTCAATCATTTAACCTTCTCAGTAAGACTGGGGTGTAGTTCTAGGTCTCCCAGCAGAAGAAACATGTGTTCGGGGGACCCGTGATTTTTTCTAAACTTTGACATTTGACTTTTGAAAAAATAAAAATTGTACTCATGGGGAAAATCAGAATTGATTGCACTTCTTTGTACTTTGGGTTCATGGGGTTTTGTGAATTGTATGTGAAAAAGATGACAGAGCGGTGTCCTGATCTTTCTAGGGCCTAGGATACGTACTCACGTATCATCATGCATCTGCCTGCGGATAAATGTTATAATGCATATATTTCGGCATCCTACAACACTCCTCTGGTCCAAAACTAAATGCACTTAATTACTCCACATTCCAGAGAAAGGCCCCAGCAGAAAGCCAGCCATCTCCCTGCAGGGCTTAAGAGGCAGCAGAGCCCTGGCAGGTTTGGCTCAGCGGTTAGAACGACGGCCCGCAAACCAGAGAGTCCTGGGTTCGGTTCCACTAAGGGCACGTACCTCGGTTGCCGTTTGTCCCTGGCCCGGGTTGGGGTCGTGTGGGTGGCAGCCACTCGATGTGTCTCTCTCACATTGATGTTTCTCTCTCTGTCTCTTCCTCCCTTCCTCCCTCCCACTCTATCTGAAGATAAATGCAAAAAAAAGCAAAATGTGTCCTCGGTAAGGATAAAAAAACAAAACAGGCAGCAGAAACGGCCCTACAACCAGCAAAGTCCTCTCAGACCACCCTTTCCACCCCAGACCCCACCCACCAGCCTAACAAGGAACAAGAGATGCATAGGATTGTGGGGAGGCCAGGGGCTGGGGAAGGGGCAGGTTCTTTCCCCTTCCCTGAGTGAGGAGGGCGAGCTGAGCCACGAGAATCATTTAGGACTGCGGACGCCCCAGGGAAGCAGGGTCTGGCATCACGTTTCCCAGCTGGACCACTGCTGAGTGGCAGGAGCACAAGCCGCCCTCCTGCCAGCAGGGAGGAGCAGCAGAGAGCCGGTCCTGGGGCCTCTGGAGCCTAGGAGTGTGACATGCTGTGGGGACGGGGAGGGGCCCTTGCAGGTGTCGTCTGAAATTTGAAGTTTGCATAAGTGTGGAGCCTGATGCCCAGCGAAATCTATAGACGTCCATGGACCCAAGGCGGTGAGCCTAGGAGGAGGACAGGGAAGCCCTACCCCTCCAGTTTGCTCCGCTCTCACAAGGCAGAATGCCCCGGGGTTCCCATCACCCCTGGGGGAGATGCACTCATGGGCAAGGGTGTGAGCAGGGCCTCAGCTACGGTGTGCCCACCCTGGAGACGGTGGTGTGGCCACTGACAAGATTACGGGAGGCAGGGCTTATATTTGCAGGGTGAGGGTGGGAGAAATGTTCTTGCCCCAAGAAAACCACACATAACACTGTGCAGAGACCATTTCAACAGAGACCACCCCGTCAGACAGAACCTCTGAACCAGGGTG